AGCACCCTCATGCCATCACGAAACAGGAGACAGGAGGAGGAGGAAGAGGAGGAGCAGGAGGAGGAGGAGGAGGAAGAGGGTACGGAGGGGGGGGGATGATGAGGAGGAGGAGGAGGAGGAGGAGGAGGAGGAGGAGGAGGAGGAGGAGGAAGAGGAGGAGGAGGAGGAGGAGGAGGAGGTGGGAGGAGGAGGAGGACCTTCCTCGCCTTGCGTCGTGTCCGCCGCTCGGTCTTCTTCCTTCTCTCGTCGCCTCCTGGCTTTCTGATCATCTTTCGCCGGCGCTGCTGGCTGGGAGGTGCCGAGGGCTTCGCTTCAGTGGCTGGAGCACGCAGGCCGCAGCTTCGATCTTTGAGGAGGAAGAGGGGGTAGAGGCATATTCTGTAGCAAATCATGGGAGCCTGGTGTACCCCTTTCGTTCTGTCTTTAGCGTCGATTAGCGTCTGGGAGTCGATGAGATAGCGCCAATGTAGTATGGGTTAGCGTCCATCCGCGTCGATTTAGCGTCGATTAGCGTCGATTCGGCGTCGACTAGCGTCGATTCGCAAGAGCCGACAAGATGATATGGGAGTCTCCCATGAGTTGCCACCGAAGGCTTCGTGCCCGACCGCCCCGAGTTCCTGAGTGGCAATGTGTCCCCTTTCGGGAGGAGGTGGGGGGTACTGCCCACAGTTGCCAAAATCCTCCAGCTCGGGGTTTCGAGGAGGACAGGGGGGAGGTTAGGCTTCGTGCCCGACCGCCCCGAGTTCCGATTGGCAATGTGTCTCCTTGCGGGGGGGTGTACTGCCCAAAGTTGCCGAAGACCTCCAATTCGGGGTTTCGTGGAGGATGGGGGGGAGGTTAGGCTTCGTGCCCGACCTCCCCGAGTTACCGATTGGCAATGTGTTCCCCTTGCGAGGGGGCGGTAGAGTCGGACCAAGGTATAAGGCCGAGGTTGATTCGGGCAGGGTAGGCCCTAATGTTATTCGTGTTTGTTGGATGCTCTTGTGCATCTTGGGTATGGTACCCTTGGACGTTCTGTGTGGTTTGGCCGGCGGAGGGCCTCATGATTTTCTTGAGGGATTATGATCCCAATCAGCAGAGGCTCCGAGCCAGACCCCCCCCTCCACCCCTTTTCCGCCCCATGTCGAAACGCCGAATATGAAAACGCTCACCAGCGTGTGGTGAGTCAATGCGCATTCGCGGTCACCGCACGGTTTTGGGACTCGTGTCGTTCTCCGAGGATGTCTCGGGCCACTGGGGCTTCTTGGGTCCCAAGAACGTGCGGTGACGGACTGTGTGGTGAGGTCCTCGAGGGTTCCAGGGTCACCGCACGGTGCGTCACCGCACCGTTTAGGGACCCCCAAGTCCAGGCTCGCCGCCCGCAGGAGCATTCTCAGCCCCCGTTGGTCGATATCGCGGCTTGTGCTGCGCCTCTGACGGTGTGCAGGCGTGAGGGGCTATCCGAAGACGTCGTGGGTCGAGGGCCGGACAGCCAGGTGGGCCAGGGCGTGAAAGGTTCGGTCGGTTCGGCTGGGTCGCAGTCGGTTGCATTCGGTCGGTTCGGTTCGGTCGGTTGTTGTGTCGTTGTTTCGTCCTTGCGCCCTTCAGGGCTGCTGATCCGTTGGTGTCAGCCTGAACGCGTAGCAGGGCCATCCAATCATCACTGTTCAAGTGTATGAGCATGTCGCAAGGGGACTTGGGACGGGAGGGCGTCTTGCAACTTCTGTTCCTACCATCCATCCTTCTCGTCAGGCTCGTCACTCTCCTTCTATTTTCCGTTTCCCTCAGACGGGGGATGATGATGATGATGATGATGATGATGATGATGATGATGATGATGATGATGATGATGATTATTATTATGATTATGATGATGATGATGATGATGATGATGATGATGATGATGATGATGATGATGATGAGGATGGTGATGATGATGATGATGATGCTGCTGATGATGAAGATGATGATAATGATGAAGAAGATGATGATGATGATGACGATGACGATGATGTTGATGACGATGATGATGCTGATGATGATGATGATGATGATGATGACGATTCTTAGATGAGGATGCTGGTGATGATCATGATAATGATGACGACGATAACGATGGATGATGATGATGATGATGATGATGATGATGATGATGATGATGATGATGATGATGAGGATGAGGATGAGGATGAGGATGAGGATGAGGATGATGATGATGATGATGATGATGATGATGATGATGATGATGATGATGATGACGATGGAAAAGGACGATACGGAAGAACATGATGTTGTCGAGAAGAGCGAGGAGGTGGAGGATGTGGAACGAGAAAAGGGAGCCGTGGAGAGGCGCCGTCGCTGCCCTCCCGCTGGCCGGCAGCCAACGCACCCCAGGAGATGTCGCAGCACACGGGCGCCGGCGTCACTTCGGAATCTGTGGAGGCGCGCTTTGCATCCTCCGCAAGCCGTTGTCATCGTTGCGTCCCTGGGGCTCATTTTCCCTGTGCGCGTCCATCCGTGACAGGACAGGGCAGGCCTGAGCTGGCTTGAATTGGGGGAGAGTGGATCGAGCTGTGTTGCCGAACTATGCGTGGCGATGTCGCAGATTGTTTGCTGTACGCGGGCAAGTACGAAGCACGTGTTCAGCGTATCCGTGCCCACTGCGCGCACCAGGACAAGCAGCCACGTTCACCGGCGCAGAGCACTTGGTCTCATCGCCCTCGGTAAATTCCGTGTTTTGGTGCTTCCTAGTTTGAGATGATACCAGTCGTGATGTTGTTTGTCGTGTATTCATGTGGTTTGGATCTGTGTTGAGACGATTCGCCGCGTGCTTGATTGCTTGTGCCGCCAACTTGTATGCACATGTGTGCGGGCTTCGTTAATTGTGTACAAAGTTCGGCATGCTATGTTCAACGCTTATCCGACAGCCCACGTCAGCGTCCAACTCAGCCTTGGTTGTTTTTTTTTCAACTCGCGTGTCACTTTGCAGCCGATCTACTATATATGTATGTGTCCCACGAAATTGACATCGGTGCAGTGACACGGGTTGCTTCCTTTGGTGTCCCTCGTGCGGAATCATATACTGTTCTGGCCATCGGGGACGCCTCCCAGGGCTGCTGGAAAGTTTGTACCACGAGGGCCGCTAGAAAGTTTATACCCGTACGTGCCACCGCTGGAGCATACATTTTGCAACCGCCCTGGAGCAGGCCACCCCGATGGCGCACAACTACTGCCATACGTTTCCGCTGAGTGCCCCCATGTTTCTGGCCTTCTCAACGGCGCAAGGAGCGGGTCGAGCGCATAGGCAGCGACGTGCGTGCCCTGAAGGATAGCCGCTCGCCACGAGCAGGGTCGAAGCGCGGGGGAGACCGGGTCGGAGGGAGCACGGGGGCAGGCGCGACGCGGGCCGCCCTTTTCCGTTTCTTGGCCTTTGCACTGCAAAGAGCTGGATTGTCTATGTACCAGAGCAACGCGCGCCCCTACAGGAATGAGGCTGGATTGAGGGCCACTCTGGGTTCGGGAGGTGCGTTGGTTTTCGGGTCGCTCCTGAGATCTAGGTCGGGCAACCTATTCGTTGCCAAGGCCCGCCGTGGCCAGAAAAGCCCTTCGTTCTTTCTTTAGCGTTCTCATGCTTACACGGTGGCTGTTCACCAGCGCTGCTGGCCAACGAGCCGCTGGAGGTGCCAGGATGTTTCTCGCCAGAAGAGGAATAGCATGGAAAAACGATCGAAGTGGATGACATACCATGCTGTAGGATGAAGCTGCGCTGGCAGGTGCGGACCAAGCGCCATCCGCTCCTCAGGGGGGAGCCATGGATGTATTCAGGGGTCTGCCTTGGGTCCGTCCACGGCTATCTTCAAGTTGTCTGGGCGGCTTCCGTGGGCCATCTTGGAGCGCCATGGCGCCGTCCAGAAGCAGCGTTGGACGCGTGCTGGAGGTCTTAGGTCCGCCCGGCTCGCCCGAGAGCAATGTCATATCGTACTCGTGGACGTCCTGGGCGCAGGAGACCAACAAAGAGACCACCGTGTTACATCACGAGGCTATCGTGGGGAGGCATCTGGATGGTATATGTGTGTTTCCAGGTTGCCGTTCGGGTTGGCCGTGTTTGAGTTCGGGCTCGTTCGGCGGTGCTATCGGTCCATGTTTTCGAGTCTTCTCTTGGATCTTTGGTCCGTGACCTAAAGTTCAGCGTCGTGCGTGTAGCTCATCAGCCTCAGTGGATTCATACGATTTAGGCGACCCATGCCATCCGTAGTAGCCCGTTGATTGTATGTATACTTGTTCGGCGTTGCGCGTGAGTGTTTCCCCACGGCGCGGACTTCGCATTGAGTTGGGGGGTGGAGTTCTCGGAGGGTGAACCGTAACCGTAAGGAGGATGAGGTGGAAGATGAACGGCGGAGGACAAGAGCACGGGAGGAGGATGGAGGATGAGTTGAGGTGGAACCGGTTGAATTCTAGCGCGAGGTTGATGTATTTGGGGTCTGTCCGTTTTTTTATGCAGTGCCGCTTTGACTCGAAAGATCGCTATAGGCTATTTGCCTTCCGCCGTGTTGCATGGTTGGTCAAATATCACATGCCAAGTCGTAGCCCTCACCCTCCTCGTTCGTTGCTACTCTGTCCTCTTATTCTGTATGCCCAGATTATCAGGAGCACTCGCTGGACAGCGAAGCGAAGGTGGAGGCGACCACGTGGTGCTAACAGTATACGCATCGGAGCATGTATGCTTACTCGATATCAGTTGGAATTCAGATGTCTTTGGGGTCGGCACACCAGTGACTTGCAGCTCGATAGCCGACCTGCCAGGGTGTCATTGTTTGCATTGCGTCTCATTTCGCACTGGTGGTACAGGTTGATGTGTTCGTCCTGCTTAGTTGTAGACTTCGGCATCGCGATTTCATCCAGCGCCCACGAGTCGATTGCCAGCTCCAATAGCCTTGTGGGCGCTTCAGGGTGCGGCCCTGTGCGCGTCTAGGGTGGCACGCCTCGCGCAAGTGACGTCCGAACCCTCAAGTTGCATCTTTCTGGTCGAGCGGCCCGGGCTGCATGTCTTCGATTCCGATGTTGTGTTATCCCGCGAGCATGGACGTAGGTAAGAATTACAGCCATCTGGCGGCGCCGCGTTCTGGGATCCTACGCGACTGGCAATCGAGGGGGGGGGAGAGGTGTGAGTTGAGGTACTGGTCGTGTGTACCTTTCTGGACCCCCGCGGGCCCCCCCGCACACCTGCACCTCACGAATCGGCAAATCCTGAACTCCTCAGGTGGTGGTATTGAGCTTCTTCCTGCCTTCACTTGACTGGGCCAGGGCACTATCAACTCGGCGGCGGCGAGCGAGGGGGGGAAGTGAAAAAGGGGCGGGCCTTCTCAGAAGGCTCGGCAGTCCCCCAGCCTTCTGAGAAGTTTTCTAAGCCTTTCCCGAACACACAGAACCTTCTCAGAAGGAACTTCTCAGAAGGCTGGAGGCCTTCTGAGAAATCCCGCCTCCTTCTGAGGAGGCCTTCTCTAGTTCACTTCCCCCCCCCCTCGATCGCCGCCGATCAACATCAGTGCTGTCACGCATCGCTTTGGGGAGTGACACTGGTGGGCCCGCTCATCTTCTGCTGGAGTGCTACCAGGAGCACTGGGGCCTACGTGCCACTATCGATCGGAGACGCCAACGGCGAACCACCCCGCCCCCTGCCTTTTGGAACCTTCTGTGTGGGAAAGCATTGGGACAAAGCCTTGCCAAGCTATTGGGCTACGTGCTCCCGCAGCCGTTGTGGGCCTCTTGAGGGCCTCTTGGTGGCCTCTTGGGTTTTCTGGTGGCCTCTGAGGTGCCTTGTGGCCTTCGGAGGTCTTCTTGGGGGCCCCTCTGGGCCGTCGTGGGGCCTTCTTTGGGCGCAGGGCCATCTTCGAGGTCCGTGGGGCGTCTTAGGGGCCTCTTGGGCCGTCTTTGGGGTCCTCTTCGCCCGTCTTGGGGCCATCTTGGGGGTGTCTGGGGCTGTCTTGGGGCTGTCTCGGAGACCTCTGGGGCCGCCTTCGGATGTTGGATGCCCGGAAAGGCGAGAACGCGAAAACCATAGATTCACCGAAGGAACATCCATGAACTCGGCCTCTTGGATGGCCTCTTGGAGCAGTCTTCATGCCACACTGGGCAATCTTAGGTCCGTCTTGGGCCGTCGTTGAGACATTTCGGGGCTATCTTGGTCTCTCTTGAGGCCATCATGGCCGTCTTGTCGGCGTATCGGGCCATCTTGGAAGCAATAACACACAACAAGCTCGGCACGCTGGGCCCCCCCCTGTGGCAAGCACAGGGCGGCGGCGGACCTACTGGTCTTTGGCCCATCTCGCCACTGTGGCCGGGTTGCGGGCCAGAGTACTCTTCAGTGCCTCTTGGGGTCTCCAAGGATGTCTCTTGGGTTGGAGGGCTCACGGAGCCTCTTGGGGGCCTCTTAAGGGCCTCTTGGGCGCCTCTGGGGGCCCCGCAGGGTCTTCTTGGCGGTCTCGGGGACCATTCTGGCACTAGATGGCTCCTGGGGCCAGTTCGTGTTTTCCTTCCTGGGCCGGAGCGTTTTGGGAGCTCACACCATGTGTTTCAATTGCTTTACATTCAGGGACAAGTCAAGCGACACGCCCCCAGGGAGATGCGCGAGATCGCCAAGAGATGCGGGCCCTGGGCCTTTGAACCAGTGCGCATTTACGGTACTGAACACAGCGAGCTCGCGGGAACTTGGGTACATTCAGCTCAGTGCCTACGGCATGGCGGTTGATTCGAACGGAAGTCGGTCTCGCTGAAAAAGCTGGCCAGGATGTGGGGAGCGCAGAGGCAGGGTCTGACACGACTTGATCCAGGCCACCCGATTGGACTACGAGTCATGAGACGGGCTCGGAGGATCGCGCATCGCCGCCGACGCATTGGCGACACGGCGCGATCTGGAGCCCGTTCTTCCCCGACTTGCCGTCGCCGATGCAACAGCGATGCATCGGCGACGCGGTGCGATCATCCGACCCTTCCTGCTCGGGCCCCATTCGAGAGGCCCCTACAGTCGGACCGAGGCATAATACCGAGGTCGGTTCGGGGAGGGTACCCTAGTGTTCGTTCGTGCTCGTTGGATGCTCTTGTGCATCCTGGGGAGGGTACCCTTCGATGTTGTGTTCTTTGGGGGGGGACAGACGGAGGGATGAGGGAGGAGGAGGAGGAGGAGGAGGAGGAGGAGGAGGACCGCCTCATCCTCCCTTCTCCTCCGTCCTACATGTGGTAAGTGGTGGTGGAAAGTTTGCCCATTATGCTCTGGCGCCCCCCGGCTGGACCTGCCCAGGACAGTGAAGGGCGATTCGCGCCAGGGCTGCTGCGGGCGGCCACGACCGCGCAGCTCTGGCGCTCCCCGCGCAGCCCTCGCTGCGGGCTGCGCGGGGGGCTTTCTGTTCCTGGGAGGGTTCGGCCCCGTGCCGTGCGGCCGTGCATGCCGCGCACACTGCGCGCGGAGAGCCCCGGCGGCGAGGCGTGCCTGCGCGAGCTGCGCGAGCTGCGGAGGGGCGGCCCTGGCATCCTGTCGGACTTCCACCGCGGAAGGGGTTCGGATGCAACTCCTGGGAGGTCAAACTCTGATTTTGCCCTGGTCCGAAATCCGGCTTAATCCCGCTAAATCCCGCTTAATCCCCCGTCCAATCCCGCTCAATCCCGCTCAATCCGGCTTAATCCGAGGCCCACTCCGGCGTTACAGCTCCCAAATGGGGCTGAATCCTCCTGAAATCTTTCCGACGAAAACCTCCCAGCAGGTGTCTCCTGAAAAGACCGGGGGGAGCAGCACCGCCTGGCCCGTGGGAGGGCCAGTCGAGACGACGGCGGCCCTCGCGGGCGCTGTCCGTCCTCGCCGGTGCCTCTCGGAGGCGTCTCGTCGCCGCGGCTGGGTCCGCTTCTCGGGCCGGACGAAAGGGGGGATTGGGAAAGGGGGGGTGACGAAGTTTGCTGCGCGCAGCCGGTTTCGGCCTCACCGAGGGGCCCATTCCTCGATACATAGCCGCTTCCGGCGCTGGGAGGCGCCGGGAAAATCAGCTACGTGAGCTGATTCTCAAACCCCCACTTTGCTATCCCCCCCTTTCGCCCGACCCGAGCTTCGGAACATCGAGGGAGAAGAAACAGCCCCGAAGGGAGGAGAAACAACTGGCGCTTACCAAACGGCCCTGGCTGGGCGTTGACTAGCCAGCCCCTGCCCTGGTCGATTCCTTCCTGGGGTGCGTTTGCTGAGCGGCTTCGCCTGTCGGGGTGCTGATTCTGGGGGGGGGATGGTATGCTCTCTTAAAATGCGAGTCAGGATGGACCCCCGGGAGCGGAGATCCCAGGGCGATGTTCAGAGAATTTTGGGCCAGGCGGGAGAGTCGTTCAGGTGGCCCTTCTCCGATGTCCCCGTCCCTGCTGGGAAAGCAGTGGACCCGCTGTAGCGCCTGCCCCCCCTCACTAGGTGGGGATGCCGTCTCAGACGGAGTTCGCGGCAGCCATCCCCACGTCTCGGGGAGTACAGTCAACCCGCATAGGAAGGATGGGCAACCTTCCCAAGGGTACCCTTGCATCCTTGCCCCTCCGGCCCATCCTCGGCGACTTTGGCTGGCCAACCTCGTTCGAAAAACGTCAACATGGCCCTCCAAGGCCCTTGCATCCTTTCCGCGCACGTTTAATTATACGAGCTAAATGTAGGCAGCTGGCGCCAAGGAGCGCCAGTCCACTGGGGATGGGGTCAGGTCGGACCGTGCTCCGAGGGAGGAGGAGGGGGGCGACGACGAGACCTTTCTAAAATCTCGTCTCCCGCGAGCCTTTCGGGGGGGCTTCTTGGAGGCATCGGGTGGAGCCTAGTGGGATCGTTTTCAGAGCTCCTGAGTGGCCTTTGGGGCCTCTCGGGGTCTTCGGCGCATGTTGTGGGGAAGGGCCCCACGGCTTCTTCGGGTTCTTCCTCTCGGGCTTCTCTTGGGAGCCTCTTGGGGGTCTTGGGTCTCCTTGTCTAGCTCTGGGGTCATCTTTGGTCATGCCTGGGCTCTAGTGGGTGCCCCTTGTGCTGTCTTGGGCCAGTCTGGGAGGCTCCTCGTGGAGCCCTTGGGTTTACAGAGGCCCGAAGATGTGGAATCTCGAACATCGCAAAAAACATAAGGAACATACATATATGCATATATATATATATACACATACACATAGATGTGGCTTCTCCCTTGGGGCTCGACCTGGAGCCCTCCCGGTGCGTCTCGGGAGCCACATTGGGCCGTCTTGACGCGATCCTTGGTGGAGGCTTCTTCGGCGTGTAGGAGTCTTTCTACGCGACCGTCTTGGAAGATATCCTGGGCATTTCGGAGGCGACGGAGAGTGGGTCCGAAGGCTCCGAGGGGCCCGGAGATGGGTTGAAAGGTTCTTCGCCCCCCCCCTTCACCAGGTCCCGGGACTGATCTGAGAGTGGACTTGCTCTCGTCCCAACCTCTTGACAGAGTCTCTCGGGGCCCATCCAGCGCGGACCATCCAGCTCCCCCCAGGCGCTCTCCATAGGGGAATGGGCGGCTGCGCAGTTGGCAGCCGGCCATGCAGCAGCTCCGCCACGAGATCGAGAGTTCGGGGGGTATCTGTGTAGACGCGTCCCGCTCGCGTGCTGCCCTCAGAGGAGGCTGCGGCGCCCGGTTTTCCCCCGTCGGCGGCGTCTGCGATGTCAAACGCGATCGGCTCCTCGAACGAAGCACTCCGATGCGACCTTTCGCCAGACCATTGTTCAATGATGCCGCTTCGCGGTGAGTATCCGTCGCCCTATCTGTGCTTCCGCGGGACCCTATTGGCGGGACCATTTTGGGAGTATTTGGCTCGAGTATTTCTGGAGTACTTCTGGAGTATGTCGGGAAAGGTTTCTACGCGGCGCGGACATCCGCAATGAAAGATCGACGTTCAGTTGTAGATGTTTCAGGTCTGTTGTCGGAGACGGAGTGCGGCCAGTTGCCGTTGGACGTGTCGCCGCTGGCAGCCGATTTTCCCTCGATCGCGGCACAGTCGTGGCTTCGAGATCGCACAGGCTCACCGCCTACTGGTCCTGGAACCAGTTGCAGACGGACTCATCAGCATAGGCCCTGCTGAGCCGACATCCTTTTGCTTCTTCGTTCTTCTCCTACATGTTCAGTTCTGCCAGGACGATGGAGTCGGGGAGCGCGCCGCGCATTCCCTCGGACTGGCCACACGGTTTGGCACTGCCAGCCGCCGTCGAGCAGAACTAGTCGATCCGAGACCAGCCTAAAGTAGTGCTTGGGTCCTTTTCGACCGCGGGCGTTGCGAGGACAAGGAGTACTGGACAGCTCGTGCTGGCTCGATTCCACTGCGAAAGCAAGAGACCACCTCCGAACGAGTGGCTTTGAGATGGCACGCTCCTCGTGGTCCCACGTCCTCTCGTTCGCAGTCTGCGCCTCCAGGACACTTCCGGGCGGGTGCCGCACTCGTCGAAGGCCCAGGCCGGCCGCGAGCACTGGCCACAGAAGAAGGACGGGGCCGCTTGCAATGTTGCTTCGGCTGATCTCGTCGTCACTCTTCGGCCCGTTACGCCACAGCCGAATCTCATAACAGTTGTCTGTTCAGTCACCGCCATGGTGCAGATGCTCACTCTCTCCTCCTCCGTCGCATCGGCGCTGCTGCTGGGGAGAGTTTCACGTGTCCACGCCTCGGTGTTGACATGTGCCTCGCTATTGTTGGCTCTTTGTCCTCTGAGCCAGCATACAGTGGAGACCCGTGCCACGAAACACCCTGGTTGCCTCCAGGGTGCCTTGGGTTTCTTGGGCTTCGATGGTTTTGCGATGGAACGCGTGACGTGCCCACACCAAAAATCAGTTGACGCCCTGGGGTCTCAGGAGTGGGTTTCTTGTGGAAGGTTTCTTGTGGTCGGGCCCCTAATGTACTCGCTTGTGTCAAGCCTGCCACGTCGGCCTTGCGCATCTGTGTCTGCAAGGCCCCCTTCACCACGACGGTCGACGACAAGGCTGGAGCGGACATGTGGGAAGCACGGTGCAGACAGTCTTCACAGTATCTCGTTGAGCGTTCGGAAATCTGAGGAATGCATGCATTTGGCACAATATCAAATATGGATGAAGCTATGTTCGTCTGTTTGCCTTCGCCATCTCAGCCGGGTCCGTTTGATAACCCACATAGTTGCGCAGCCTTTGAGTCTTCCGAGCATCAGCTCATTCCGCAGTGATCCCCTAGTGGACGCTCGGCGCCAAGGGTTCCCGGCCGTCGTCGGGATTGGATTGACGATTGGAAGCGTTTTAATTGTTTGATTCGGGCAAGTGTTTGGTTTGGTAGGACCCGTTTGCCTTGTTATCCTTCGAGGCAGCCTTGACTTTCTCAGTCGACGAGTCTTCGGTGGGTCAGGAAGTCGTGAAAGGTCACATACGCCGCGACTCACAGATCGACGTGTTTGGCCTCTCCGCGCATTCCCGTGGGCTTGTTTGGGCCTCCCAGGGTACCCAGAGGCCTCCCAGGGGCTTCAAGGGGCGTCTCGGGAGGATGGGGAGTCCTCCGCCCCTCTGTGTCATTCCTTGTTCCGACCCACTCTCTCCCGTCCCCCTCTCCTTGTGCGTCCTCCTTCGATCCCCTCCTTCTCATCCTCTGTCGTTAGCTACCCTTCGCAAGCGAGTGCACGTCTAAGCTCCAACGCTCATCTCTGTCTGTACATATGTATACACATATGGATGCATGATCCTATCTGTCTCATTCCCGCGCCGCCATTTCGTTTCAAACACTGGCGCGAAGGTGCCAGCTAGTACCATGGACTCTGGTAGCGTACCTCGGACGCTACCAATATACATACAGCTTCTTTCCATATGCTAATATGACGTATCTCATGGCCGCTGAGTTAAACACACGTTGACAGGACTGGACTTTCAGGAAATCATCCCAAGCGATTTCCTCCTGCTTTTCCTTGCCATCCTTGTCCTGCTCCTGCTCTCCTTCTCCTCGCCGCCCCCGCTTCCACCCCCCCCCTCCCCCCAAGCAGGCTCTTCCTCTCGCCCCCGCGTCGTTTTGGCGGCGTCAACCGGCCTGGTTCTCTTGCCGCCCTGCTTTTACGAGACGGCATCGGTAATTATGACCGCAGTCGTCGGGGCGGCGGCGGCCGCCCAGTAATGGGACAGGACTTGCGGGGCCTAGTGAGAGGATCTTCGTTGTTTCCCTCGTCCACCTCATCCTCGTCGCCCCCGCCCTCAAGAGTGGAGGCACGCTCGGCGCAGGTCGGTGTGCGGTGGTTTTGGACGTCGGGTGTGCTGCGGATAACCCCGCTGCGGGGAGTTTGGATCTCATGACCCCGTCCCAGGCGTCTCGGATGTCTGCGGCAGGCACCATTGTGATCGCGTCGGTTGTTTGCGGTCGTAATGTCTCAGGCAGTCGTGGCTCTTGCAGCAGACACGCTTGTCGTGACGGCCGTGGTCGTGGCCGCCCGCGCAGGGCAGCCTCAGCTTCCCCGACACCGGCAACCGCAGCAGCAGCAGCAGCCAGCACTCGAAGCGCACAGGCCTCCGTCTCGGTACTTCTCTTCACTTGCAGCTGTCGGCCGGCCCACTCAGTAAGTCACCACGCGCGTTGCCCTGGCTTGCGGTTTCCCGCGATGTGGCGGGCGACTTGGGGCCGACATCGGATCTCGGCCCGTCTTGCGTTCTTGTCGATGGAGTGTTTGGACACCCTGGGCGCCTCCGCACTTGAGATGGTCCATTCTAGATACGTTGCGCATCACCAGCTTGCCCAGAGACTATTCCAAGGCGAGTTGCCGTGTGAGGTGAACGAGCACTCGTGCAGCAAATTGGGGGGACACCAGTCAGGTTACACCGTCGGCGGCAGAATACCCTAAACAGCTCTTCGAACGTTAAAGAGATCGCTACAAGCGTGCTCTAGAAACTGAAGAGTAATATACAGTGGAGGCCAAAGCCAAGAAACACCCTGCTTGCCTTCAGGGTGCTCTGGATTTCTTAGGTTTCGATGGCTTTGCTGTGGAAGGCGCGACGCTCCCACACCAAGAATCAATGGACGTCCTGGGGCCCGAGGGTTGGGCTTTTCGCGGAAGGTTGCTTGTGGACTGGCCTCCTACTGTGAAGAGAGTACTCCAGAGAGTACCCGCAGGGAGACCGTGAAGGGAGACCGTACGGGAGACCTTGTGAGAGACTTTACGACGGGAGGCCCCGTGCCACCGGTTTTTCGGATCCGGGGGACCCCTCACACCGGGCCGCAAACGCAATAGGTCTTGATGTGGTGTATTTATGCTGAGGCGGGTGCAAGGGAGGAGGAGGAGGAGGAGGAGGAGGAGGAGGAGGAGGAGGAGGAGGAGGAGGAGGAGGAGGAGGAGGCAGGAGGAGGAGGGAGGAGGGAGAGAGGGAGAGGAGAGGAGGAGGAGGGGGGAGGAGGAGGAGGAGGAGGAGGAGGAGGAGGAGGAGGAGGGGGGTGACCCAAATGGGGGATGAAGAAAAGTCCCTAAAGAGGCCTTTCAGGGCACCAGCTGGCTCCAAGAGGGGCCCCAAAGGGCCCCTCTGGGGGGCCCTTTCCTCCACCCCCCAGTTGGTCACCACCCACCAAACCACCCCAACCCAACCCGAAGGCTCAGATTTACCCTCGATTTCCAGTTGGGGGGGGTCGGGAACATCGAAAAAACACGTGTGGAACCCTTACCCTCCCCAACCCGAAATTCGGGTCTTCGGGTTGGGTTGGGGTGGTCTGATAGGTAGTCAGTTGGGTCACCCCCCGTTCGCTCCCGCCCGATATGTCCCAAAGAGTGCTCGCACTTTGGGGTCCTTGCTCTCGGTATCGCTCGGACGTGTGCACTTTTTCTCGGCGGGGAGTATGGAGGTGTATCCCGGATCATCCTGCGAAAAAGCCGCGCACGACACAAAGCACAGGGAATGGACGTCTGAGCGATGGCCAATGCCTGGCCTTCTTCAGTTCTTGGACGGGCTCCCCGAGGTTTCGCCACGTTGGCGCCCGTGCCCGCTCTCAGGCGCCTCGCAGGCGCCCCGTGCGCTGGGTGAGGTGTCCGAGGTTTCGCCGCGTCGACCTCCGTGCCCGCTCGTGGGCGCCTCGTGGGCGCCCCGTGCGCTGGGCGAATGTCGGGAGGAGTTGCCTCGGTGGCGTCCGTGTCTGGTCGTGGGCGCCCCGTGGGCGCCTCGTGCCTGGGGTGCGTGTCCGGAGGAAGTGCCCCGTTGGCGCCCGTGCCCGCTCGTGGGGGCCCCGTGGGCGCCCAGCGTGTGTACACCACGTGGCTTCAACACCACAGCCTCCACATGCATACCCGATTGTGCTCAACTTACGACGCACAGCTCACACCACGCGGCTCACGCTACATAGCTCACATCATAGCTTAACACGTTCAGCTTTCACCGCATAGCTCGCACAACATGTATTACGCACACAGCTCGCATCATATAGCTTAAACCACACATGTTGTACAACACGTCTCACACCATCTAGCTCACACCACATACGGGTCATAACATATTGTGCACACCATAGCTTGTATCACATAGCTCACACCACACATGTTCAACAATCTAGCTTACCTTACACAACATGTTGTGCACCTCCAATGCAATGGCACTGCTTGGGGTCCACACTGGCGAACATGTGTATAACTAATATGTGTGTGTGTGTTACACGCGTATGTGTGTAGGGTTACATATCGGTTGAGCAGAGAAGTATCGAGCCCAAGCGGTTCCTTAAACTGCTTAGTGTTGGGCCCTCTGCTCCTTTTGGGGGCCTTTGGAAGGCCTCATCTCAGGCGGTCCTTCGGGTGCCTTTTGTGCTCCTCTTTGGGGGCATCGTAGAGGCGCCGCCCGCCAGATGATACCAGACCACTGGGATTGGCGCAGCCTATGGAACACGACGTGGCAACCTATGGAACACAGCGTGGCAGATACCGTTTCGTGGGGGAGGCATCCTTTGTGGCGCCTTTGGGGTTGCCCCTGCGCTCCACAACGGGGACCACCCTGGCGGCCAGCGGTTAGACAAGAGGGCGGCGGCGTCCGAGAAGGGGGCGAGGACCAGGGTGGTGATGGGCCGATGTTCCACCACCACTACCTTATGTAGGAGGGAGGAGGAACAAGAAGAGATGGGTAGGAAGAGGAGGAGGAGGAGGAGAACGAGGAGGAGGAGGACCTCCCCATCCTCCCCTTCCCCGTTCTACCTATGGTAGTGGCGGTGGAAAATTTGCCCATAAAAGGGGTGGGGGATCTCGTGCCATGGCCCCTCTCCTTCGTGGCACAGCTAAATCGCCCGCTGGCCCCCCTCGTCCGCGCACATGCTTGGGGCCATGGTGCGCACCCCCTCCCCCCCTCTTCCTCCTCGTCCTCCTCCCACTTCCCCTCCTCCTCCTCCTCCTCCTCCTCCTCCTCCTCCTCCTCCTCCTCCTCCTTCTCCTCTCCCTCCTCTCCACAGGATTCCCCGGAGTTGGGTTTTCGCCTGCATTTTTTTTCAAAATGCTGCTCTCGCTGAGGCGCCGGCCTCATGTTCGGGCCCCGCTCGTCCAGAATCGTGCTCCCGCTGCAGCGCTGGCCTCATTTCCGCGCTTCCGCTCGTTCCGAATCGTGCTCCCGCTGCAGCGCCGGCCTCATTTCCGCGCTTCCGCTCGTTCCGAATCGTGCTCCCGCTGCAGCGCTGGCGTCATTTCCCGTGCCCTGCCACGGCATGCAATGCAATGCTAGGTTGCGTTCCGCTGCGCGATGCCATGCCTTCAGCTGAAGCTGTGCTATGCAGTGCTTCAGTGCCACGTCGTGCCATGCCATGCTACGCTTTGATCTTCAACGCCATGCTATGCAATGTTATGTTCGGGGCCACTGTGCGATGCCATGCTTTGCGTTGCAAAGCTTTGTGATGGAATTCTTCACTACGCCACGCCACGCCATGCTGTGACATACTACGCTTTGCGATGCTCTTCTACGCCATGCCATGCCGTGCTCTACAATGCATCGCGTACCCTTTCGGGATCATTGCCCTGCTCGACATCCGACTGCGAGTAGAAAGGGGATCTACGCCATGGTAAGGGATGGGAGGGAGGGGTAGGATGTTAGATATGACGCGAGCGCACCTAGCTTGCCCGTACCCCCTCCTCCTCCTCTTCCGCCTCCGCCTCCTCCTCCTCCTCTCTCCCCTCCCTCCTCCCCACCCCTGTCCTCCTCCTGCTCCTCCTCCTCCTCCTCCTCCTCCTCCCCCTCCTCCTCCCCCTCCTCCTCCTCCTCCTTCTCCTCCTCTCCCTCCTCCTCCGTATGTCCTCCTCCTCCTCCTCCTCCCCCTCCTCCTCCTCCTCCTCCTCCTCCTCCTCCTCCTCCTCTCCCCTCAAGCCATATCGGCTCAGAGCATTTTGCCCTGAGCCAGCCCTCGCCTCCCCGCGGCGCTTGAGGGACACCTGGCGGGGCAGAGGAAGGCGCCTTCGCTCCCCCAGGTTGATTAAGGAGGGCAGACCACCTTCTTATCTCGAGCCATGGGTAAAAAGAAGTCGAGTGGTGGAGCGGCTCCTGCGCCTGAGACCACAGAGCCGCCCGAGTCAGGGTGGTCCACATGTCAGCAGTGTGGTCGTCAGGAGTGGAATTGCATTCTGTGGAAGCAACAGTGCCGATGTTCGAAGTGCCATACTGTCGTCACGTTGCATCGCCCCAAGGCTTCCAGAGGAGCACAGATGGGCAGCACGTCGAACAGCAATCAGTTGGCGCTAGCACCTTCCCTTCCAGGCACGAGATCGGTGAGTTCGAGTACACCGCTGTCGGCTTACAAGCAGGCGCTGAGTGTCACCACCGGTCCCGCGCTGAAGGCGATCCTAGAGGCACACATCGGCCAGCTGAAGGATGACGAGATCTCGCCCGAGAAGTGCATCACGCCCGAGGAGTCCCTCAGGCGGGCCACTGCCGCGGTGCGAGATGCAGCCACCAAACACGATCAAGCAGTTTCAGCTCTTCTTCGGGCACGCGAGGTTCTGGAGAAGGCCACCGAGCGTGAAGCTACGGCGGCTCTCACCCTCGCCAAGGCGGAGAAGTCCAAGCTCCAGGCCGTGCGGGCCCTCGCCGAGCTGAACGGAGTGGTCGCGAAGGGCACCAAGGACGGCCATGGCAACGACGGAGGCGACAGCAAGAAGCTCATCTCCATCTCGTGGGACCAGGATTTCTTCAGCACGCTCGACAAGCTCGAGGTCAGCGAGGCCGAGCGGGCGGACCTCAAGCAGCTGGAGACCGACTTGAAGGGCGTGCGCGACCTGGTTGGCACCAAGTCCTCCGAGGTGGAGCGCATGCCTGCGCGCATGGCGAAGATGAAGGAAGACATCATGGTTCGCCTGGCCAAGAAGAGGAAGGGCCCCGACGGCGCGGCCACGGGCAACCCTGACGGCGGCGGCAGCGGCGGCGAGCCTGGCGGAGCCCGTGGGGGCGACGACGGGCGCACTGCGGAGGCCACGCCAGTCCGCGGCGACCAGGCCGACGCAGAGCTCGCCGAGGAGGCGCGGCGGCTGAGCGAGGCCAAGCTCGCCGCCGCCCAGGCCGCCCAGGGCGCAGGCCTTGGCGACAAGTGACGTACGCGACGAGGCCCCTCGAGCACGCAGTCAGCGGGGGCATCGACTGCATCGGGATCGGCCTCGACGGGGATTGAGCAGCCTTCGAGCGGTGAGGCGCAGATTTTTTTGCGAATGTCACTCAGCTTAGCAAGAAATTGTGGGGGTTTCTCACCAGTAGTAGGGCTGCCAATTATCACCTTTTTGCTTTAGTGGAGACCCACATCGGGTCCAGCGACGATGTTTCCCGGTGGAAGTCTGAGGCCTCGAAGGCCAAGCTCAAATGTTTCTTGAACCCCGCCCTCGGCACGGGAAACAGCGCGACCCAGTCGGGTCAGTCTCGCGCCAACGAAGGGGGTGAGTGCATCCTTGCCAGGAAGCACCTACCAGTTCATTCACTTGCTCAGACCAACGGGGCCTGGAAGGACCTTACAGTCGACGGTTCAGGCAGCCTCGATGGTTTCTCTGCTGTAGTCTGCCATCAGAAAGGGTTTTCGTTCATTCTAGTTCCTTTTTACGCCTACTCTGGCGAGGGGTACAGGGGCCGAAACCTTCCTCGGTTTGCTCGGCTCGGGGCGATGCTGCAGCAGTGTCGCCTACCTTGGGTCGTTATCGGGGACTGGAATCTGCCGCCCCAGACTCTACAGAGAGTAGGCTTCGTTGACAAGGTAGCAGGAGTCATCTGCAAGTGCCCGCTGCAATACACTCTAAGGTTCAGGCACCCACATAGACTACGTACTGGCTAGCAGAGCCAGCGTGCCGTTTATTTCCCGACTCGAGGCCCGTGTTGACGTTCCGTGGCGCCCGCATTGTGGGCGTGTTCTGGTTATCCGCAGCTCTTGCCAGCAGCTGCTTTGCCGAGAGCTCCGCAGGGCGCCCAAATTGCCACAGGCCCCGAGGCCGAAGCATCTGCCGCAAGTAGGGTCCAAGTCTAGTATGAAACGGGCTGCCGACGCTACGAAGCGCACGGCAGCCCGTGTTGCGGCGGACGATTGCTATCAGGAGTTGTACGGTGACTTAAATGAGGGCGACCCTCAACAAAGTCACCCGACTCGGCATGTTTCCGGGGACTCGGACGACGAAGGCGGTTTCTTTGGGGCCCCTCTCTCCCTTGCCTCTTTGGTGGGGTCCTCCTCCTCTGGCGGGGCGCGGGGGTCCACGATGCCCGAGTCCCAAGATTTTGATTTCAATAACGAGCTCGATCAAGAAGCCCACGAGCCACCCTTCGAAGTTGAGGCCCCCCCAGACCCGCCTGCGACTAGCGACGCAGACTGTAGCTCCCCAGGTAGTCAGCCTCCCTCCCCCTCCCTCCCTCCACCCCCGACGTTCCACATCCCCGACGAGTCCTGGGAAGCCGCCGAGCGGGACGTGGGTTACGTTCCAGTGGGGTCTACGCGAGAAGTCTGGCCAGTCATTCGGGATTCTGGAGCTTTCCACGTGGGTCGTGAACATATCATGAGCGTGAGCGCACTCTATTCGCAGTGGGCGCGCACCGTCGAGCATACCATATGTGCACATCATGGAGAGCAGGAGCCCAGTCTTTCTCGCTCACAAGGCCCAGTTTTTCGCGAACGAGTGCTACACATGTTGGATAAGGTTCGGTCAGAACCGTTGCACGGGCAGGTAGCTTGCTGGTGGGGGAGAGTGCGCGCGGTACTTCAGAATCTTTGCCATCACTTGACTAAAGGGAATGGGGAAGTACAGCGCTCCCGTCTTGCTGCCGCGTGTCGTGCCTTAGTTTGTGATATTCCAGAATCAGTCCATCTACCGCTCGCCTCGCTGGACCCTGCTGACGGAGCTTGGTTTCTGGCAGGCGCGGCTGATGCACGTGGAGGATGTCAGCCTCCCGATTTTGCAGACGCTCTGTTCAGTTGCCAAGCGAGTCGCTGGACGTGCCAGGCGGAGGGACCTTCAAAGCTCACTCAACGATTTCCGTGAATGGATTTCCTCACCCGGGGCCTGCGGGGTCCTGCATAAAAACTTGAAGGCCGTTCCCCCCCTCGACCTCTGAGATCGAGGTCGGGGGGGAATGATTTTTCACCCTCGGGGCGTTTTAGATCAGAAGGCCAAGAAGTGGCATCAGCTTTGGAGCCCAGGCGACGTCTCACTTGACTCTTTAGGCCAGTTATTTGATCGCATTCGCGCAGCTGCCGAAGACGATCAGCTGCCTGCTCTCACTTGCGACCGAGTGGAAGCCGCGCTCAAATGTATGAAAGCACGTGCTGGTCAGGGGGTGGATCAGCTTTCACCGACAGACATGCAGCGGCTTCCACACGGAGGGCTTTTTCAGCTCGTGCATCTGTTGCAAGCCTGCGAGGCTCGGATTACGTGGCCATGGCACGTCCTATTGGTCATAGGACGGTTACTGGGGAAGAAGTCCGGAGGTGACAGGGTGATCGGGCTGATGGCCATGCTCACTAGAGCATGGTCATCAGCTCGTGAAGAAGATGTTCGCCTCTGGACCTCCTCCTCAGAGCCTGCGTGGGATGCCGCGATCCGAGGTAACTCTGCACTTCGTGAGGCTTTCGCTCGAGCCTTACAAGATGAAGTTTGTATGCGTTTGGGGATTGAGTTCGGCACGGGTTTAATTGATGTCGAGGCCTTTTACGACTCGATGTCTTGGGAAGCTCTTGTTGATACCTTTCTTCGGCTACAGTTTCCAGCTACTGCTCTCGGGTTAGAACTTCAGAACTGTGTCGCCCCGCGTACTCTCGCTCGAGACGGGTGTTTTTCGACCGCCTCCCAGCCTTCGCGGAGCATCGTCCTGGGCATTCGGAGCGGTGTTCGTTTTGTGATGTGCATGGTTTACTTTATCTTGGCTAAAATCACCACTGCACACGTAGGGGCCTCTATGAGGATATGGGTTGACGACCTTTACCAACGGGTGATGGGGTCCAGGAAAGTTGTCCGTGCTCAGCTCTTCGGGTGCCTTCGCGACACTTGTGACGAGCTCGGCAAGGCGGGGCTGAAGGCAGCCTCCAAGAGTGTTTTAGTTTGCTCGCAGTCTAGTGATGGGAAGCTGATTGCAGCCAAGCTCAAGAAGTTGGGCTACACTGTTCACAATGTTTTGCAAGGTCAGTACCTTGGCGTGGACCTCGGTGCTGGCCGTCCTGCTCGCTCCTCACGGCGCAAGCGTGTTGTCAAAGCTTCTGTTATGACGGGTAAGATTCGCAAATTCGCACGGGCGTCTCGGATATATCAGGTCACTGGGCGTCTGGAGCGAGCAGGGGCCCAAGCAGCTGGCTCGTATGGGCATCAAGTTCACGGGTCTTTTGGATCTCATCGCGTTGGCTTTTCGGCGCCGCCTTGGAGCTGCCCTCGGCTCCAAGCAGAAAGGCCGCTGCCTTACTACACTTTTGGACTTGAAGGTTCCAGGAGCCGACCCGTTCGTGAAATTCCCCAGGGGCACTATGAAGCTCTGGCTCGACACGTGGTTTAGCTTTCCTGATCTACGTCCTATGGTTCGCCAGGCCTGGCCTCCGGTTGTTCGGTGCCTCCAGAACATCATCCCGCCCCAGTTTGCTAGACAGGTCCGAGGTCCAATGGGGGCTCTTATTGGGTATTTACTTGAGGTTGGTTGGGCCCCCGCGTCTCCCACCGAGTGGACTACGCCAGGGGATGAAGGTGCTCACTGGATTTTTCCTGACAGTGGCCTCACAGGTTTCGAGGACACGTCTGAGGTGCTCGACGGGTTTCAACAGTCGTTTCAAGACGCCGCTTGGGCGAAGGCAGCGCAGCACTACTGTGGCGAGGGTTCTTCTCACGGAGTCGACAACACCAGTTATCGTCGGTTCCTTCGGAGTCTCCAGGGCAGCAAGCACGGGCATCGCCTTTCGGAAACGATGATCAACGTGGCTACTGGGGGTTTCTGGCCTCGGCAAAGGGTAAATGACGATACTCGGCGTCGTCTTAGTCCTGATTGCCCGAGGTGCAAGGAGCAGCCCGAGACACCTCTACATCGGTTTTGGCTATGTCGCTGCAACAGTGCGGAGCACAAGGCTTTCAAGCAGTCTGAGGATTTAGTTCCTCGTGCAGTCTCTTGCGGCGAGAGTGAAGCGTGCTTTTGGTTCCGAGGGCTCATCCCTCGCGCCTGGGCAGCCGTGCCCCCAGCCAGTACCGAGCCTCAGTGGGTCACTGTAGGGGGCAACGAGCCGCCAGAGTTGAACGACACTACGTTGGGGGAGGGGCGTATCGGGGAACCAGTCATTATCTTTGGAGATGCTTCGGGAGGCCCAGATGCTCGGGAACCAGCTTTCAGGCGCGTAGGAGTTGCTGCTGTTACCCTGGCATCGTACGATCCTCCAGTCGCCCGAGCAGGAGTTTTAGGCCCTCTCCCAGGTAGGAAGCAAACAGTGCCCCGCGGAGAACTTCAAGGGCTTATGTTGGCTCTCCTGTACTCCAGAGGCCCTCTGATTTACGTCACCGACGCTTCAGGAGTTTGTGATGGTTGGTACAATGGGTTCTACGAGAGGCCCGCAGGGGAGAGTATGGGGGCTTGGGATACTATTCGTTCTATTATCCAGAGTACGGGGCGTGACACGTCACTCATCTCCGTCCTCAAAGTCGATTCCCACCTCTCCCCAGCCCAGATTATTCAACAGACTGTTCCGAGGTTTCTGATTGTTGGCAACACGGTTGCCGACGAACTTGCAGGTGTCGCGGCACAACGATGTCGGCTGGACAGCACCCATCGGGCCCGAGTTGTGCGGGTCGAAAGGGATGCATTGCTCGTTCGACGCAGATCATTGAGAGTCGCCCTGGAGGTTTTCAGCTCGGATTCTCAGGCGCGGCAGCCTCGACATCGGGGCGAACGGCGTGGTGGCGGCGGCGCCCAGGACGGGGGCGTCGTGGAGCCGTCCTTGCCGCCTCCTCTCCCTCCTCCTCCCTCTCCTGCTGCTCTGTCCGTTTTCCATTCGTCCCACCGCCTCGGGCCAAATGGTCGTTTCTGCTTGCGCTGTAGGGGGTCTGCCTCGGTCGACACTGCCACAGAGTGGCGATCTACCCCCTGTTTTGATCTCGTT